TACGCCCTATCCAATTAATAATAATTTTAATATCATAATTAATATTTTTACTAATTATTAAATACAATAAAATATTATTCAAACAATCTCATCTATTTATTTTAAATTCAAAACACATATATTTTAATAATACTACCAAGAGTGTTTTAAAATATTGTATATTTGGCATTAAATTGATGCCTAAATAGCAATATTTTTAAAAAGGTGTTAAATGTAGCTAAATAAAATAAAATATATTAATTAAAGTTTAACGTGGTCTTTGGATTCCAATATAATATAGTAATTATTAGCAATTATATTAAAATTCATTTTAATTTACAATGTACAGTTTGTTTTAATCGATAATGATCGACTAAAGAAATATAACATTAAATTTATTAAAATATTATAAATTAATGTCATTGTAGCATGTCATGCTACACTCAACTTATGCGCATAATTAATACGTGTCTGGGCTATTTTGTACGATAGATTTACTATGATTATATAATTATTATTTATTAAGAAGATAATATTAACAAGATTATAGTAGCATATGATATTGAATGTAGTCAGGAAAATGGGGGACATGTACCTAATTTATTAATTAGTAAAGCTCAATGTGATAAATGTTTAAATTGTGATGAATGTCTTGTATGTAATAAACAAACTAATGTCTATTTTGGGTCTAATTGTATTAAACAATTTGTAGATTATCTGTTTCAAGATTTAGCAATCATTGCAGAAAAAATAAATCTTTAATTTATGCTTTTGCTCATAATGCTAGGGGGTACGATGCCCAGTTTGTTTTAAGGGAATTGTGGAATAGATATTATAATAATGTAGAAACTATTTTAAGGGGTAAAAAAATTTTATTGATTAAATGTGGGAATGTTAAAATGTTGGATTCTTTAAATTTCTTTTTACAACCTTTGGATAAATTACCAAAAGCTTTAGGGTTAGATGTATCAATTAAAAAAGGGGATTTTCCTCATTTATTTAATATAGTAGAAAATTATAATTATATAGGTAAAATTCCTGATTTAAAATATTTTGGGGTTGAATATAGAAAAGAAGGAAAAATTGGAAGAGTGGTATAAAACACAATTGGTTAAAACTGATTGGAATTTTAAAGATGAATTGATTAATTACTGTCTAAATGATGTAGATATTTTATTGAAATGCGTAATGAAATTTAGAAGTACTTTTAAAGATATTACAAGCATAGATCCCATTACTAGATCATTTACATTAGCATCAATAGCAATGGAAACATTTACAGCATTATTTTTAGAGTCAAAAGAATTAGCAAACACACCTGTACAAGGGTATAATAAATCAAAAAATGTATCATTTGCTGGTAGTGGATGGTTAGATTTAATTGAAAAAGAAAACAATATATTATTAACTAGAGAATATAGAATAGGGAAATATTGGGTAGACGGTTATGATTTAAATAGTAATACAGTATATGAATTTTTAGGATGCCATTGGCATGGGTGCTCTTGTATTAAAACAAGAGATGATGATTTAAATGCAAAATATGAAAAAATTATGAAAAAATTAAAATTTTTAGATAAAAAGCATAAAGTAGTGTTTGTATGGGAATGTGAGTTTAACAAGGCTATATCAAATAATGTCGAAGCTAAAAATTATTATAACGAAAGATTTTTGTATTATAAAAAATTGAAAACTGTCAAATCTATAAATATAAGGGAAGCATTTTTTGGGGGCAGAACAAATAATATTCAATTTCATAAACAGATTGAAAATGACGAGGAAATTAAGTATTTAGATTTTTGTAGCTTATACCCATATGTGTTGAAATATAATGCATATCCTGTATCTCATCCAGAAATTGTTTTTAAAAATTTTGATTATTCTTTAAATAGTTATTTTGGGATTATTAAATGTAAAGTAACTGCTCCTATTGATTTATATTTACCAGTATTACCAGTTTCAGTAAACAAAAAATTACTATTTCCTTTATGTGTTAAATGTGCTAAAGTTAAATGTAATGAATGTATGTGTGAAGATAGATCGTTTGTTGGAACTTGGGTGTCGGAAGAGTTGAAATTGGCATTAGAAAAGGGATATATAATTAATGAAATTTATGAAGTACTAAATTTTAAAGAAGATATAAAGCAAAATAAATTTATAAAGTATATCGATATGTGGTTAAAAATTAAACAGCAAACCTCTGGTTGGCCAGAGTGGTGTAACTCGGAAACGAACAAATTAAAATATATATCAGATTATAAGATTAAAGAAAATATAGATTTGGAATATGACAAGATTGAAAAAAATGAGGCATTGAGATTCATTGCGAAAATTATGCTAAATTCATTTTGGGGAAAATTTGCACAGAAACCTAATCAATCACAAACAGAAATTGTAAAAACTGTAAATCAATATTTTGACTTGGCTTTGGATAATGCTAAAAGAATTAAAGGAGAATATATGGTAACGGACGATACATTAATAATGTCATGGATTTATAAAGACGATAGTAAGGCTAAAGCGAGAAAATTTAATTTAACGGTGGCTTCGTTTGTAACAGCATACGCTCGTATTAAATTGTATAGATTAATGGATAAAATTGAAGAGATTAGACCATTTAGTTTATTGTATCACGACACGGACTCTGTATTGTTTTATCGAAATAAAATGGATGAGAAAATTGAGACGGGTGATTATCTTGGAGATTTAACGGACGAGATTGGTAAAGACTGTCAATGTATAGAATTTGCATCGCTTGGACCAAAGAACTATGGCTATTCTGTATTAAAGACAGACGGATCAATTAAATCAGAAATGAAATGTAAAGGAATAAGTTTAACTTTCTTGGCAAAACAAAGTATAGATTTTAAAAATATGATTGAAATGGCTTTAAATAATGATGAAAAAATTTATATTCCTCAAAGACAGTTTGATTTAACTAAACATAACGAAATTAACACTAGATAATATGATAAAAAATTTCAAGTAACTTCAGATAAAAGAATTTTAAAAAATAAATTAACTTTTCCATATGGATATAAAATTAACGTCTAATGAGTATGCATTAGATTTTTTAAAAAATAATAATATATCAGGGTTTTGCCCTGCCCCTCAGTAACGTCAACTGAGGAGAGGGGTTTCGTGTCCCCTATATTGAAATAGTCCTAGAGAGCACCCTCTAGAAGATGGAAGTGACGTCCATATGCAGCTTCAGTAACGTCAACTGGGGTATAGGGGAATGTTGTGCATCCCCTATTGCAATATATTAAGAACCTGGAGGGCACACTCTAGAATGGAAGTGACGTCCACTAAGTCAATCAATAAAGAGACGTGGCACACTGTTTGGGGGAGCTCAGGCAGTGTCTCACTATGTACTTGAGATTGTTATAATGATCAATAAAGAGACGTTGCACACTGTTTGGGGGAGCTCAGGTAGTGTCTGACTATGTACTTGAGATTATTAATTGGTGGACTTGTCCGCCTTTTTACTAAACACCTGGCTATTTGGTGAGCATGCGCATTACAGCTGTTGTTTTGAGTATACATAATGCAGTTATTTTTAATTTTGGCTTCATTCGTTGGATAGCTCTCGTTGTGGATGGTCGTCTGTAAGGTAAGCTTTTTATATTATTATTATTTTTTTTTATATTGCGATCTGATTGATCGCAGTCAGTAGTACAGATGACCTTTTTGGCCATCTGTCCTTTACTGACAATTTTTAATTGTAACGTTATTTATGTATGACCCTTTTCAGGTTTGGTCATTGGTTGGTCTTGGAATATGCAATGTCTTGGTTAGATGTTGTCAAGTACACGTGTACTAACTTTTGGGTACATGCACCAACGGTCGGGTACATGTGCACCCATGGTCATCTTGGTGACCCCTCTGGTCATTTTGATGACGTCATTTATGGTTACCTTGGTGACCCCCCTGGTGACCACGCCCCTGGTCACTTCCGGTTACGCCCCCTCCTGACCACGCCTCTTCCGTCTGTATACGAGCCTGATTCCTACTTATGTAATTGATTTATACACATTTGGAAAAAATCATGATAAATACCATAATCATTATTGACACAATCACCATCATCTCTTACTACAAGTAATTAGAATCAATAATATTAATTTGAACAAACTAAAAATTCAAGATCTAATTGGAACTAACTATAAATAATTATTTTGCGCAGTTAATTATTAATTAATAAAATCATTATATTTACAGTTTATCTGGTAAATTACAAATATGTCTATATACTTTATAATGCAAAAAAAATAAATACAATATATAACTATTTACATTTATAATTGTGTTACCAATTTATTCTATTTTATTGGTATTTAGTTTTAATATAAATCCAAATCTATATAAAGTTTAATTAAAACAATACTAAGAAAGTTAATAATGTAACAGTGTATTGTTAAATTTTGCAAATATAGCTATATTATAATTTGAAAAGTTTAATTATTAATATTATATTTAATATCATAAACAATATATTACAAATTAGTATTAACCATGTCTTTAAATTTATAATGAATAATTAGAAATATATTTTTTAAATTACAAACTGCAGATTATAGAACTACAACCTGTAAAATAATAAGTAAGATTCATTTTTACTTTACTCAAATTTAATTGTAAATTAATATTGGCATAGTTCGAATGCGACATATTTATTAGTTTATGTAATATTGAGAATGACTAATCTGTTCGCGGCACAGTGCCTCCTTAGAAAGTGCCGCTAGGCATTTTTCACTAATTTGCAAATATTTAAATTTTTAATTATACACATTTATTTGATTTAGTAATAATGCATTTATATTTGTATTTAAAAAATTTTAATCTAAATTTTTAATTTAATAAAAAATTTTAAATATTTTTATTTTACAATTTTTATTACTAATATAAATATATTATTACAAAATCAAATAAATGTGTATAATTAAAAATTTAAATATATGCAAATTAGTGGAAAATGCCTAGCGCGGCACTTTCTAGGGAGGCACTGTGCCGCGAACAGATTAGTCATTCTCTGTAATATTGTAAACATATTAAATCTATCGGAATATAAAGCATTACTATGCAAATTATGGTAGTAAACCTTATTTGTTAATAGAGTTTGTATAAACAATTAATTTTTAATAAAATGCAAATTAATTTTTATTATTCAAATTATAATTTTTAATTAACAAAACACATAATAATAATCATTATCCAAATTAATTAACCCTGCAAATACGGATAGCTGGGGTTAGTGGACAGATAGTAACGTTTGCCAATAGTACTGCTCTCATAAGGTTTTGACAGTACGGCTTGTTCGCCGATAATAGCACAGTTGGCCACACTATTAGCGCAGTCAGTATCGCATTCACCGGCCATATATGCGCTATAGTCAGGGCACTGATGGGCCACACCTTTAGGGTTATTCGGGTTAATACTGGCTGCGTAAAAGTCAATTGCCCTAAAGTGGTTGCATGTCAGGCCACCTTGGAAACCTACAATGTATTATTTTAAGTTAGATTATTGACATAGGTAATTTAGTTTTTGTAAATTTATTTAAAATGATTATGTAATGTTTACCATTCATGTTGCTAAAAATAC